ACCATTCCACTGTCAAAAAGCTCTTAATGTCAGTAAGTTTTTCCATATGTTTCTTTCTGAATCTTCCTATTTTGTAACATGAAGCCATTGATTTGAGTCCTACCCTCCAGAGCAGGGCTGGATCAATACATATCAAAGAAGCGATTCAGTTAAACACATTGTATTTTTAAAATTATTGTTCAATTTTACAATTAACATTCACATTCAAATAAAAGTCATAATCATAAACATATACGATTCTCTGAATCCTTGGACTTCCCTGAGCTGAGATTCCATGGATTCCATTCAACTGCATCATATAATGTTCTCCAGTTTTTCCTAAAATTCCATTCTTACCATAGTTCTTGTTACATTACAAGTGTTGTTACATTGCTGCCAATGTTTTTAATTGTGTACAGTGTTCTCCAAGGGAACTTACAAATTTTCCCCATTCCTTATTAAAGTTATTCTTCTTGGTTTCTAATCTTTCCGGTCATTTTTGCCATTTTGGCATAGTCCATCATTTTTATCAACCATTCCTCTCTGGTAAGGACTTTATCTTTTTTCCTTCTCAGAGCCAAAAGTATCGGCGCTGCTGTCATCGCATACATAGTCGTTTCTGCTCCTTGGTATTTCTGCACCTTAGATTCCTAGTAAAAACACTTCTGGGTTTTTCCACAAAGGTTATTTTAAATATTTTTTTCAACTCATTATATATAATTTCCCAAAATGCTTTTGTTATCTTGCAGGTCACCATGTATGATGGAGGGTGCCTTCTTTATCTTTACATATCCAACAAATATTTGTAGCTGTTCTATACATTTTTGCTAATTTAGTAGGTGTTAGATACCACGATACATCATTCTCACAAGGTTTTCCATGCACAGCATGCTGTGAATTTTAAATCTTCCCTCCATAACTTTTCCCAAGATGAGAATGGTATATTATGCCCAATATCTCTTGTCTATTGTATCATCACTGATTTAACTTATTCATCTTTAGCATACCATTCTAGCAACAGTTTATACATTTTGGAAAGTAACTTCACATTCATTTTTATTACTGATATCCTTCCCCACTTAAATGCATTGTAAACTTCATACAGGGAAGTTCCTTTGGCGACAAATGGGACTCCACTCCGCCATCTGGTGGCATAGTGTTATAATGCATAGAAATAGCTTTATCTTTACAAATGTAGCCTAGTCCCAGGAGAAAACTATTACTTCCCTTAATCTGGACACTATATACCTGCTGATGCAGCCTAGAACAGCATTAGCTTTTTTGTAATTGCATCACACTGCTGACTCATATTAAGCTTGTTGTCCACAGAAGACCTCATGTGAAGGAGACAGTGTTGTTGCAGAGAGTTTCAGAAAAGCAAACTGTTTTACACCTTTATATATTTTTTTCCAGCCCCAAAATTGTGAAACAGGAGACATGACAATGTCTTGCCAGCTTTCTATACATGATAACGTGTTCAGGATGTTCAGGAGGAAGTTGCTTTGCAAATGTGCTTTGCAAACTGCAAGCAGCAAGTTTCATTCAGCCCAGGGCAAATTCATTTGCTCCATATCTTCACCGTTCCCTGGTCAAGAATCCAAGGAGTTTTCTTGGAACACCCCCAACCTTGAAATTTCTATCCCAGAGATTGAACAGGTAGTAATCACCAGTGATACGAGCTGAAAGAATAGCATTCTGGTAAAAGTTAAATGATCCACTTTTGCTGGAACACTTATCCAGATTGTGGACTCTTGTTCATTGAAGGCTTTCAGCAGAGATTGTTTGAGGAAGAAATGGGAATTTGCCTTCAATTATTATACTACTACCATTATACTACTACTACTACGCTTTGGTTGGCATTCCCTGCATTACAGAGGGATGGCTTGGGCGACCCTCGGGGTCTCTTTCTGCTCTGCAGTTTTTTTTTATTGTAGGGTGACAAGCGGAAGAAAGAAATTTGTCTGGATAAAAATCCAGTGTAAAAACAGTTGTGTGAGGTTTTTTGGAAGCATCAAAGTGGTGGAGGGAGGGGGGTAGGTTTCTGAGCCCAGAAACTTGTTTAGAAAAGCTCATAAGATGCCCTAAGCAAGCAGTCAGAACTCCCCGTCCCCGGGAGACATTTGAACTGTAACCGTGTATGTGCAAACAGAAGGGGAAACGACAGGCCGCCAGAGTTCCGGAGTACTGACCCAGAAACTGAATAGCTAGAGGAGGCCAACAACCTACCTCTTGAAAGACTGACTCCCGTGACTAAAGGATTAAAAGAGCAGCAGTTACTGCTCTCCTTGCGAAAAGCTCTGAGACACCACTTAGTGTGCTTTGGCATGCAGTTTTTTGACTTCCCATTCTTCAAGAGCAGGGAATGTTTGGCATACTAACAAAAGGCTTATCAAGTGAAGGTGTTGTAAGTGAAAATTCACAGGTGTAAAGTGGAAACAAGCCACATATTCAGAATTTTGAATTGGAAAATATCACCAATGAAAGTCCTTTGGGGTGGGGGGAGTAAACATTTAATGAACTGTAAAAAAAAAAAGAGAGTAAAATTTAATGAACTAAACTTTGAGACTAAGTTGTGCCAGGAAGTTCAACAGACATGGATCAAGGGGTAAATCTGCAAAAAATATCCTTTACTGTGCTGAGTTGCTGGTTTCTGGGATTGACTTCAAAATCTTCTTGCCATTCTCTATCACCACCTGCTGGCCATGACTGAGCCCATAACATTTTTTAACTATTTGTGATTTAAAAAAATGTCTTACACATATAGTTAAAGATAAATCTTAACTTGTCAGGCTGGCAACTGTTAAACAACAAGCATTATTTACATATAAATTCATGAGTGCAATATGTTTCTGACATGACAGCTTATACTCTAAATTCCCTCTTCCCTCTGGCCCATCCAACTGAATACCTTCGAAATGATAGACTGATTCTGAGCAGGGCATGAGGAAAGATGCAAAGAGTCTTTGCATGCTTAAAATTCCAGGGTCGATTTCTAGCATTTCTGCTTAAAGGGTTGCAGGCCAAGATAGAAATATCTGCCCATCCTTATCCTGGAGAAGAGGAGACTGAGAGGAGATATGAGAGCCATCTTCAAATATCTCCAGGGCTGTCACATGGAAGAGGGAGCGAGTGAGCTTGATTTCTCCTGCTCTGAAGGACACAACCTGAACCCGTTGTGTTTGCTGTGATTTTCCATCTTGGTTGTGAAAAAAATTGTTCTTGTTTAGTCGTTTAGTCGTGTCCGACTCTTCGTGACCCCATGGACCAGAGCACACCAGGAACTCCTGTCTTCCACCACCTCCCGCAGTTTGGTCAGGCTCATGTTTGTAGCTTCGAGAACACTGTCCAACCATCTCGTCCTCTGTCGTCCCCTTCTCCTTGTGCCCTCCATCTTTCCCAACATCAGGGTCTTTTCCAGGGAGTCTTCTCTTCTCATGAGGTGGCCAAAGTATTGGAGCCTCAACTTCACGATCTGTCCTTCCAGTGAGCACTCAGGGCTGATTTCCTTAAGAATGGATAGGTTTGTTCTTCTTGCAGTCCATGGGACTCTCAAGAGTCTCCTCCAGCACCATTATTCAAAAGCATCAATTCTTTGGCGATCAGCCTTCTTGATGGTCCAGCTCTCACTTCCATACATCACTACTGGGAAAACCATGGCTTTAACTATACGGACCTTTGTTGGCGAGGTGAAAAAAATAGCCCTTCCATTTACACTTCTTCCATTCTTTTTCCAAGAAAAGTTCCAGAGGTTTGATAGCTTTCCTCTCTAAATTCACTCCAAGTTGTGTGCAGACTCCTTTCTCTTCCAACTCTATCTCTTCCAGCTTAGGATGTCTCTTCATCTCTTCGTCGGTGGCTTCCTTCCACTCCTCCAACATCACAACACTGCCATTTGGCTGTTTCAGTCCTCTAGTCACCTTTTGTGAAGGACTTCTTCATTACACCATCTGTTGCCTCCACCTCCACCATTTCATCCTTCTGTTCTGGAAATCCTTCATCCATATTGTTCTCCAAAGTCTCTTTGTCCTCTTTAATTCCACTTTCCATTTCATTCTTCTGTTTTGTTAGCTTTTGGGTGGTTGCTTCTGTACCCATCTCTGCTGTTTCTCCTTGTTAAAATGTTACACACACACACACACACACACACACACACACCAATTGCTCAGTGTTCCTCCATCCCTCCATTATTCCTAAAGCCACAGTTATCTCAGTTTTCCACCATCTCCATTTACTCAAACTTCTGCCATTGAAGGAAAAGCTAGTGGAAGTCAGGGGAACGTCTGTTTCAAACTTCTCCCCCTTCCATTCCTTAACTGTGATAAAGGATGTGAAGCCTTCAAATATTGCATAGTGCCTCCACACAAGCTATTTCACTCCTGATACCTTGCGTGGTCCGCGTTCCAGGTTCCGGGTTCAATGTAGTGATTTAGAAGAGATATTTTATTAACAAGCACACATGTACAGTATCCATCAAAGAAACTTAACATTCTTCAACTGGAGAAGCTGATAGCTTGCTCTTAGGAGTCTACTCATCTTCAAGATACAATAACATAGCATGGGGGGTGTTAGAAGGGGGCTGCAGAAGAGGGAGAGAGGAGGAGGTGTGGGAATGTGTGTGTAAGGGAGATTTGATAAAAGGAAGGGGAGGGGGAGGAGAAAAGGGAGCAATAGTAAGAATGGGGATGCAAAGGAAAGTTGTCAAAAAGGAGGGAGTAAGGAGGCATTGGGAGAGGGATGAAGATGAAAGCAGGGGCATGAAAGGACCTGAAGAAAAGGAGGAGATGGGGTGAAGGGGAAAACAGATGCAAAGCAGAGCTGCAGAAAATAAGAGAGAAGTGGCTTCAGAAATGGAGCTGCGAAGGTGAAAAGAGATCTCAGTAGTTGCATGGGATGAGATGGGAAGGGAAGGGGAAATGCTAGGGGGTTCATGTGTCAGGAGTGGCCAAGGGGTCACCGAGTGCAGGAAGCAGGGGTGCAGCCCCTAATATTTTCTTATCTTCTTATGTGTTGCAGCGGGGAACTGCACAGAGTTTATAAGGATGGGGATGTGCTGTAGTCCCTATTATAGCCTCTTGATTGAGCTCTTTGACTCCTTCTGGCAGCTGAAAACTGAATGCCCTCAGCAGGCTGGTCAGGAAGATGAATATTTCGATCTTTGCCATCTGCATTCCCAAACAAATGCGAGACCCTGAGGATGGGACAAGAAGAAGGCAGCAAGTGAGCAATAATTTACTTTCCCATGTTCATTGCTTTGTAGCTATAAACATTCTGCATAACACTTTGGCAAAATAGACACAGTTAGGATAGGGAAAATATCAAGGCTGCTGTCAATTTTCTAGCCTGGTCAGTGCTAACCTTTCTTTCTTCTTGCTATACTTATGTTTTGTTCTGTAATTTGAAGTTCCCTATCTCATATCAAGGAAGATACATTCAGGAAGAGGATGGATTGAAGATGAAGGGTCCTGTGGGAGGGGCAGGGCAGAGAGCATCTCCCAGGGCTAGAAGCCAGTGTAAGAGGGTCTAGCTCCCAGTGAGAACTGGGAGGGCTCACTTTTCTGTGTGCAGAATAAGGGTGAAGATTTAATTTTGATAGAGGACCCTGTTATTTCCTTTATTTCTTTTCAATCTTTTCTTCCTTTCCTATTTTTCTTTTTCTTTTCCCTTTTAGATTAGCATGGTTTTTATTGTGTCTCACGTATAAAACATTCAATAAAACTTGATTTTAAAAAATGAAAGGAAAACCTTGGTCAACTGCCCAAATCAGCAATGCAGAAAGGGATTAAGACCATGAGCAAACTGTCCTGCCAGATTTCTCTTTCTCGCAGCCCTGCACCACAGAAAGGGAAAGGTTTTGTTTCCGACTGCAATCTATTTATACGGAATTGCAAAGTGCAAACGGCAATGCTAGCTGTTTATGCTTTTCCTCATGCGATGTGAATAGAAATATTGTTTTGCAAGGTGGAATAGCCTTTGCACAGAGAAAGAGGGAGGGGGGAGTCCAACGCTTACAATACGAGCTGAATACTTGAATACTGAGCAGTTAGGCATAATCTAATCCACAAATATCCTTGCAATAATCAGGTCAGTCAAGCCCCAAGCCAGTATCCCAAGACCCAAGCATATCTGTGGAAATAGTTGAGCTCAGTTTCCTAAACCCTTGTCTGATACCATCCAGCTACACATATTCTGGAAACAAAAGTTACTGAAACAATTTGTTGTTCCATACCTATATATCTCAATGAAAAAACATGTTTATTAAAAGCTGACTATTTGTTTTCTGTTTCTATTTCTTATTTTCTATTTCTTATTTTCTCCCAGACTTAGAAAGATTGTCCACCAACTGGGAAAACCAACGTCTCTCAACTTTCAATTTCCCTGATTCTAAAATTGGATTTATTTTTTGTTTGTTTTAGTGAATCCATCGCACTAATTTTCAAGATTAGTGAAGCACACAGCCAAGGACTCTGTAAGCTAAATGTGCTACATATATAGTAAATGTATAATAAACAGATAGCTGGAGGTTTGCAGAATTTGTAGCACTTTTAGTTGAGGTGGTCAAGTACCGTATATGCATTTGAAGAGTGCCCCTAAATTCCATACTGACAGACACTTCAGGTGATTTACACGAATTGCATACTTTAGTAGTACTTTGGTCTGCTTTGTTATGTGAAGTATCAGTCAGAAATTATCTAGGTAAATGTTTTATCTGTGTTAACAAGAGTTCTTTTCTTTTGAAGAGTTGGAAGCATGTCTACAATAGTGTTGTGCAATTCATTTTTAAATTAGGCATTTTGCAAGCTCTCTGTTAGAGTTGCTTTTTAGCCTAACATTTTTGTCACACCTCTTATAGTAGGAACTAGCATCAAAAACAGACTTTGATGAAATTATTACTGAGTCTTCTTCGATTAAAGCTAGAAAAATAAAGTTCTAATCACATGAGACTTCATTGAGGAGATTCCTACTTGAAGCAAGAGTTGGCCTAACTTTACTTTTTAAAAAGATTTCAAATAACAATTCTTGTGAATAAGAACTTGTAACGTGACTTGTGAATAATGTTAATAGTTTTCTTATTTATATCAACCAAATAACACAGATACTGTGAAAACAATGCCGTTTTACATCATATAGTATTATAATATAAAGTTATCATTGTGAAATAAATCAGTATGATATTTTTCTACATTTCATTTAGGCCTATCTGTATACTGTTTTACCACTTAATTACATTAAAAAAACTGTCAACTGACATCTAAATGCCATTTGCTTTCCTGAAACCTTTTATTAAGACATAATAAATTAAATATTCTATTTTCTGGGAAAGAATTCAATACAAGGTGAAGTGTGTGAGGAATTGAATGGCACAGGTTGGGGTGGGGTGGAGGAGAGGCAGAAAGAAGAGCTAATTTGTCCGTGGCTAGAGAGCTCACTGATCACTGCAGATGGTGACAGCAGCCACAAAATTAAAAGACGCCTGCTTCTTGGGAGAAAAGCAATGACAAACCTAGACAGCATCTTAAAAAGTAGAGACATCACCTTGCCAACAAAGGTCTGTATAGTAAAAGCTATGGTTTTCCCAGTAGTGATGTATGGAAGTGAGAGCTGGACCATTAAGAAGGCTGATCGCCGAAGAATTGATGCTTTTGAATTATGGTGCTGGAGGAGACTCTTGAGAGTCCCATGGAGTGCAAGAAGATCAAAACTATCCATTCTTAAGAAAATCAGCCCTGAGTGCTCACTGGAAGGACAGATTGTGAAGCTGAGGCTCCAATACTTTGGCCACCTCATGAGAAGAGAAGACTCCCTGGAAAAGACCCTGATGTTGGGAAAGATGGAGGGCACAAGGAGAAGGGGACAACAGAGGATGATATGGTTGGATAGTGTTCTCAAAGCTACCAGCATGAGTTTGACCAAACTGCGGGAGGCAGTGGAAGACAGACGTGCCAGGCGTGCTCTGGTCCATGGGGTCACGAAGAGTCGGACACGACTAAACAACAACAACAAGGGAGCGCAATCTGGACAGTTCTGTCAGGGGCGAAATATCACCTAGCTATGGCTCTGGTCCCAAGCCACCAACCTAGAGATCCCCTTAACTTGCCATGGCCTTGCCCCATTCTGCTGACCAGCACTGCCACTCCAGCCAGAAAGATGTTCCTTCTGCTCCGGCCCACTCCCTCCTGTGCTGCTGCTGATGTCATTTCCTGGAAGCAGACCAGTAAGCACATCTACAGATCACAACATAGCTTGGTCTTCTGCGTTTACCTGCACCAAATGGCAGATATTCTTCTCTGTTCACGAATTGTCCATCCTTGTCCAAAAAATGATTTGGGTTGAACTCTGCAGGTGTCTCCCATTGTGTTGGATCAAGAAGAACAGAGCGTAGATCGGGAACAATAATAGTCCCCTGCAAATAAGAAACAAGTGACTTGGAATGCATTCACAACAATACTTTTTTTTTAATCGTCCCACACTATCCCAAGACTAATCATTGCAGAGACTGATCTGAATTATTATTATTATTATTATTATTATTATTATTATTATTATTTTGGTGGGTGGCTTTGTATTCATCACTGTAAAAACTTTCTGTACAGGCAGGAACACAAGAGGACTTTCCCCCACCTCTTTTAAAATGAAAGCTCACAACCAGGCGGAGACTTCTGGCCACTACATGCTCCTCCCCTGCCACAATTGCCCCATGGAATGGCACTTGCTGATGGTGAAACATGTCTGCAGATGGAGCTCCTGCTCTTGCCCTTCAGATTTTTGAATAGTTCCTGTACAGCTGGCAGCATCTCTCAATATGAAACCTTCTGCTGCTCTTTGCTCTTGGGCTACAGGAGTGCAGCTGTATCACACTGTTATACCTTGGGAATGAGAAAACCACGCAGCTTGAAATCCTTTGTACATTGCCTAGGGAACCCCAAAAAAGTGGCAAATTTAAAGCGCTGCATCTCATGAATCACAGCATTGGTGTAGGGCAGTTTCTTCTTATCTTGATAGCAGATTGAGTGAGCAGAACCTATGACATCTTCTATTTCCTTGTGCATTTTATCTGAAGAGAATGATGGAAACAGGTTTATTGTGAATACTGCATTTTATTTCAGTTGGACATTTATTTCCCTTGAACATATTCCATAAATCTCTGTGAATGAGTCCCAGGTTCTTGCATTCAAAGCCCACCTCGTCCTCCAAAGAGTTTAAGTCAGTCTATATGGTTCTTCCCCACTCTAGATCCCAGGTAAGAAAAGGTTGAAAGAGAAGCTCATCTCAGTAGTTTCTGGTTGCCAGAACTGTCTGGATTTGCTGAAGGGCTGGGATCAAAGGCTGTCATATATTCATCCTCCACCCCCAGCCCTCAATATTTCCTGTTTACTTACACTGGCATGCTTTCGAACTGCTACGTTGGCAGAAGCTGGGACAGAGCAACAGGAGCTCACCTGTCTTATGGATACGAACTGCCCACTTTCTAATCAGCAATCCCTAGAGGCTCAGTGCTTTAGACCACAGTGCCACCCGCATCCCTCATGTAATGGAGCATGGAGAGGCAGGAATGAGGCTCAGTCACTTATCTCACAGCAGGGGCATTCTTGTACATTTGCTGCATAAAGAAACTGCTAGCAGATTTGCAAAACAAAACAGGTACAGGTTGTGGTATGGTATCAAACTGGAGGGGGGAATGTGTTGATTCCTGCATCTCAGGGGGTTGTATTAGAAGACCCTTGGGGTCCCTTCCAACCTTACTATTGTAGGCTTCCTTATGACAAATGACAGAGCATTGCCATGAAACTCATCTCCAACTATAAACCTCCTAGAGACATTTTATTCTGTTACTTGACTATTCTGCTCATTCAGTGAATTTAGGGCAAGGCCCATGGTTTCCCCCCAGTCCCAGCTTTCTGGACATTTTACTTTTTTCCATCTGTTAATTATAGGTTCTAGAAACTATGAAGGAAAATGTTGGTGGGAAAAATATCTTTCCAGACATGAAAGTCAAAAACATTTAGCTTATTTCGATATTGTTTACCTTCCATAATTTACATGATAAACTCACTTTTAACTCTTTCCGATATGAAACCTTTAAAGAACTATGCTCCACCCTAGTGGTCAAGAGAAGCCCTGGCTCTCCTCTCTCACCTTGGATATCTGGATGACTTGCCAGGAGGAGAAGTGCCCATTGCAGAGAACTCCTAGTTGTGTCCGACCCTCCTACAAAGAGGTCAAAAATGCACTGGGCCAAGTTTTCTTCATCATAGGTGGACTCTGGGTCATTCCTGCTCTGGTGTTGAAAATGGGGAAAGTGACATGTCATTTACATGCATTACATTCTGTCCTTCAGCACTTTATCTTCCTTCCCCCACTTATTACCATACCACCCACACATGCTTCATGAGAGGTGGGGTATCCTCTTATAGTGCCTAAGGTGAAATGGGAAGCTGCTGCCACCCCCACCCCCCGCTGTTGCTGCCCTCACTCGCTGGATCATCACCTTTTCATGATGAGTGGGCTTGCAAAGAATTTACCTGTCGCCATGACAACTCATGCCATCAGAACAGAGCCTTACTGCGAAGACTGTTCATTGGTCAGTGTGCACTGATCTACAGACGTAAAACAAATTCACGTACAGGCGTCTTCCAAAAAACCCATCCCAAACCAAAACACCCAAAGTTCCATGGTGATCAGCATATGGTAACAGGGGCAGGATTGTGAAATCTGGAAGCCCTTAGTCATGAAACAGCACATGGGCAGTGGATACAGATTCAGTCATTGTGACTCAAGGAACAAGGCAGTTGAGCAGCTCGGCAGCAGTATCCATGACTGAGCAGCCCTATTTAGGATCTACTCTGCTCGCTCCAAAAAGCGGGAGGGGCTAGAAAAGGTGCCCTAACCATAGTCTGCCTCTCTTTTTCCCTGACTGGATTACCACGCCCAGTGGCGTCACCACCCAGCGGTGGTAAAAAACAATTGAACTTTGGAACATGGAATATATGGACAGATATAACACAGATAATGAGCATCCTGAACACAGAACTGCCATCATTGCAAGAGAGATGTGACATTTTAACATCAATATTGCAGTGCTTCAAGAGACTCAAAGAGCAGGCAAGGGACAACTGAAGGAAGAAAAAGGAGGCTACACATTCTTCTGGAAAGGTCTATCGGAACAAGAAGGTCAAATACATGAGGTAGGCTTCACTATCAAAAACAATATTGTAAAGCTCCTGTCAGAAGTCCCTACCAGACTTCTGGTAAACTCACCAAAAGCCAACAGGCTACTATTACCAACACACTCATTCGACAGAAAAATAAATTTAAAACTTCATGGAGGCATCCTCAGTCAAACCACTGGCACCTCTTAGACTATGTTATTGTCTGTGCTAAAGATTTCCATGATGTGCTCCTTACCAGAGCTATGACGAGTGCCGACAAATGTTGGACAGATCACCGACTAATACGTTCCACGATGGCTATCAAGATTATACCTCAACACAGGCTTCAAGAAAGGAAACGAAGGTGCAAAATGAACACTCAAGCCCTTCAAGATACCATTAACCGGGATTTCTGTAAGTATCTTATATTTTATCCTTGGCCTTTTGCCCCCCCCCCCCAATAAACCTAGAAATTTCTTTCTGCCATTTTTTAAAACATTCATCTTTCACAATTACTGGGACTGATTAGAAGAGGAATAGCATTTTAGGCAGCACAGTCATTTTAACCGCCACTCTTTTTCCTAACAGTGAGAGATATTTCTAAAAAAATTTCATAATTGTCTTTGTATAAGTTTATATTTCTTGATGTTAGCCATATCCCTAAATATTAAATATTTAACCTTTTTATGGACTTCTATCTCAATTCCAATTTTGCTCCAATTCCATTTTTTCTTCGTCCTTCAAGTTTTTAACTGGTAGTTTTGTTTTATTCCTGTTTAATTTAAATCCTGCCACTTCCCCAAATTTCTGTATCTGCTTCCAAACAACTCTTAAGGACCATCTGCTTTCAGAATTCCCTGATAACATCGAGGAACACTGGACCAAGCTAAAAACATCCATTATTGCAGCCTGTGAACAAACTATCGGATAGCAAACCAAGAAACACGAGGACTGGTTTGATGAGAAAGACAGGGAGATTGAACGCATGATTGACAAGAAAAGGAAGGCCTTTCAGATCTGACAAAGACACTGTGCCACTAAGAAAAAACAACCTATGCCAACGCAAAGGCTGAGGTTCAAAGAAGAACCAGAGAGCTAAAAAACACCCGGTGGATTAAAAAAAAGGCTCAAGAGATCCAGCGCTTAGCTGACACTCATGATGCACAGTGTTTCTTTAAAGCCCCAAAGACCATGTATGGGCCAATAAATCATGGCATATGCCCCCTATGCTCAGCAGACAGTACCACACTTCTAAAAGATAAAGAAGCTACTGCACTGCACTGGAAAGAACATTACCAAAATCTCCTTAACCGCAACTCCCCCATAGCTGCTGAGGTCCTCTCACAAATTCTTCAAAAACAAGGTAGAGATGAGCTTGCAGTATTTCCTAATCTGGGAGAGTTGTGTACAGCCGTTAACCAAATGAAAAACAACAAAGCCAGTGGACCTGACAGAATACCTGCTGAAGTCTTCAAAGTGGGTGGAATTGAACTTACACAACAACTTCACAAGCTCATCGAAAAAATCTGGGAGAGAGAAGAAATCCCAGCAGACTTTGGGGATGCCAAAATTATCAATCTCTTTTTAAAAGGTGACAGAATTGAGGCCTGATTTGGACTACCTTTACCGGTTCACAAGTATTCTGTGCATCCTAATAACACCCAAAACAGTTAGTAACAAGTAATAAGCAATGTTACCATAAGTATGTTTGTCAATAAAAACTGTTTCCTTGCATAAGGGTCATGCCTTAGTTTTTCACCACATAATTGTCGCAACTCCCTTTTTTGAAAAGAATAATTGGCATAAAAATGTGACAATTATGTGGTGAAATATGGCACTTCCCACTAAACATATTTAACCATTCTTTTGTCACCATAATAAGCATTGTTCAAAGAGGGAAAGATGAAAATATATTTTGTCCTTTCTAGTATATGAAGATGGATGAGACAGGGATTTGAAGTCATAGTTTAGCTTAAGAATATTTTGTTTTGGATTTTCTGTTTTCTCAGTCCACATTTGAATGTCAGATAAACATCAATCCAAAAAATGCTCCAAAGCAAGACCCCATAATACACTTAAGTTTCCACTCCTTTACACTCACATTTCCTAGACATTTCTATATTTGCTTATGGATGGATGTCAACCCACTTGAGAAATATTTGGAGGGAACTCAATGCGATTTTCAACTGAGATTCAGAAAAAAAAGACACAGTGGTACCTCGGTTTTCGAACAGCTTAGTTCCCGAACAACTTGGAACTTGAATGCTGCAAACCTGCAAGTCAATGTTTCGGTTTGCGAACTTTGCTTCGGAAGCTGAATGTGCTCCTGAGCTTCCATTTTCACTGTTGCGCTGCTAATTTGTCCCCCCCCCCAATTGTAATCAAAGCTTTCCGTTTCCGATTGAAGTCTCATGAGGTGATATTTGGAGCTTATATTTGGTGCATTTGTTTTTGCTATTTTTTTTACATTTTTGTTTGTGTCGCTTTTTCATTTCTGTGACTGTAGCTTGTTCTTCATTTTATGATTGATTGATTGATTGATTGATTGTGTGACTACGGAAATGGATAAAAACCCACCCTCCAAACAATGACTATCATCAGTGCAGGTAAGAAAGAATTTTAATTTTAATTTTTATCATCCACAATACTGTTTTATTTATTTTATAGTACGGTACAGTGATTACTGCTTTCATTTTATGAATCAATGGCCTCGTTAGATAGAAAAACTCACGTTAAATTGCTGTTTTAGGGGTTGTTTATAAAAGTCTGGAATGGATTAATTCGTTTTCCATTACTTTCTATGGGAAAGCATGCCTCAGTTTTGGAACACTTTGATTTTGGAACAGACTTCTGGAATGGATTAAGTTTGAGAACCAAGGTACCACTGTACTGGTTTCCAGGCAATAATAATAATAATAAATTTTTATTTATATCCCGCCCTCCCCAGCCGAAGCTGGGCTCAGGGCGGCTAACAACAATCAAATAATCCCACATTCTAAAAACATTCCATTATAAAATTAATTAAAATCAAATTGATGGCAACTGATAAGCAAAATTCTGTGCAGAATGCCAGAGGAGGGAGTCAGGCTGCGCCCTGACCAAAAGCCTAGTGGAACAGCTCTGTCTTGCAGGCCCTGCAGAAAGATGTCAGGTCCCGCAGGGATTAGCAAGGGATTAGTATTCACATATAACAGGGAATATAATGATTCCTTGAATGAGCTGCCTACAGTTTTGAAGCAGATACTCATTCGCATTCACATTTGTACATGAAAATATCTATCCTTTCCTAGCTATTTTAGTAGATGCCTATGGAAGGATGTCAACTCACTTTAGCAATTAAAATGACTATGAGGGAATTGGAGGGGGGGGCAGAGAGATATATTGGTGCCTGGCAAGAGATTAGTATTCACTTATATTTATTTATTTTTTATTAAAGATTTCAACATAACAATTAATCAAAAACATATCATCCTCATTCCCCCCTATTTTCCCCTCCCCGAAAAGAAAACCAGCCCTCCCACCCCCCCAGACTTCCCTCAGCTCCTCTCTCTGTTCACTCATAACATGGAATATAATGATTCCTTGGATGAGCAGCATTCGGTTTCAAGCAGATACTTACTTTCTCCATCTGAAGTAGATAGAAATCAATGAGATCCTGTGGCTCATGCACAGACTGATTCTCCTTATGCTTCTTTATCTCCTCCTTTGCAAATGAACGCACCATCTCCACGCAGGAGAAAGCCTTCTTGTGGGGCCCTGGGAGATGTTTCATGAGCCATGGTAGCATTTCATAAAGCTAAAGGAAAGATAGCAGAAATGCTGCCATTACCATGAGGAAGCTTGTTCAAACCATTTGTGCTTTGGAATTGGACTTAAAAAACATGATCTGCATTATTCTTCAGGGCTAGCATATTAGTTTGAGTCTCACTAAGAAGAAGGAAGGTGTCTATAGCTTCTCTGGAATCCCACAATGATTGGATTCTGTGATTTATCCCTAGCTGAAAATGTGAAAGAAAACTATGGCTCAAAATATTTTCCCAGCTCCCAGGCATAATTCCAAAACTGGGCACAATCTCAGGACCTCTCCTGGAACAAGTTAGTGCCCGTTTGTGGTAGGTGGGGGTGGGTGGATATAGGGTGTGGGGGGATATTCAAGTAAGTTTCATGAGTCCTTTTTTTTTTTTTACAGATTAGGAATGGAGGTAGAAATGTGGAGAACTGAACTTAAATTTGAGGAAAGGGTTTAGTTGATCATACAGAAGGGGGCTGCTTTCCTCAGCAATAGCAATAGTGCTTGAGTTGCTGGTCTCTCTTTCATTAAAAAAAATTCCAGCCAAGTGGTGGCTGCAGGGGCCTCACCATGGACGCCATCATGATTGCCACTGCTAGGTGGTTATAGAGTAGACACATTTAGTTTTCCATGATGGCAACAAAACTATGTAATTCCCTTCTTGAGAAGATTATTTTGTTCACCTCTGTTCCCTTTGGTGGACTCTAGATGACCTGTTCTCAAGGTCATTGTTCCATTTTTGTCCCATCTTCCCTCTAAAGTGTCTCCTGTGGTGGACAAAGTCTTCTTTTGTTGCTGTTTTATGGGGGGGGGTTGGTGTGTTTTTTATCTCAGTGATAATCATGAGCAATGGATCAGGCTGTGAGATAGTAAGTGGCCCTTATCTCAGATCAATTTAGACCTGATCTCACTTCTCCAACCCTCTATCAGAATATTGATTTGTGGTATTAAGGCCCTTGGGAGACCTGTTTGGCAGGAATGGAAATGACTACTCACAGCATAACCAAAGCTACATACAAATTGTAGGGAAAAATCTATGGCTTCTCTCAGCTTCTGGAGCCTTTCATCTTCAAGAGCAAACTGGTGCCCAAAAGCCACAGCACATATCACGTTGGAGACTGAAGTAGCGATGGGCATGGAGGGGTCAAGTGGCTGTCCTGCAAAATAAAGTTATACTAATGTTAGCTCAACTGGTCCAGTTCCTACTGAGAGTGGGGTTTCATGGTGGCCATGAGAAACTGCTGGGATCTCCATTAGGAACCAAGAGAAGCATATCACATTCCTTTCTAAAATGGACAGAGGTAGGACACAAATATATCTCCATATGCCAGCTCAGCACCATCACTGAGCATCACATACCCTTTGAACGTGCAAAAACCTCCACGAGCTGATGGGCCTCCTCTGCTACTTGCTGCTCCATGCCTTTCTTTCCCCGCCACAGCTTCCGCAGAGTGACTACAACAAAGCGTCTCTGTTGCCTCCAGGTGTGACCATTTGATAATCCAATACCTATGGAAAATCAGTGAGAAATAATTACAATCATACCTCGGGTTAAAGTCGCTTCGGGTTAAATATTTTCAGCTTGCCTCTCACAGCGACACGGAAGTAACAGAACAGGTTACTTCAGGGTTTTGCCACTCGCACATGCACAGACGCTCAGAATGTGCACTTTACTGTATCAGCAAAAAGTGACATTTCTCGACAGCTCTACCGTTTTGATTTTTGAAGAGAAAACTGGTATCTGATACAGTGTGATGTCGACAAGTTTAGATTTTTCCATGGAAGGCCGTCACGATCAAATTTCACTTCTCATTTGGGAGACAAGTGGATGGCTTAGCTTGGCGGAGATGGAAAAATGCCGCCTTTGTTATAGCTGGAATCTGCACCCAAGATTACACCAAACTCTTAACCTACGGTGTTGGCACTAATTGCACCCCCGCAAGAGATGGGAGTTGCCCCCCAATCCCATATCGTTCCGTCCCAGCCACAGGATCTCTGTCTTCGAAGGATTTAGCTTCAACTGGCTCCCACGTAACCATCCAGCCACAGCTTCCAAACATCTGGTCAGTGTGTCTGGGGCCGAGTCAGGATGGCCATCCTTCAACAGATAGAGTTGGGTGTCATCAGCAGCCCTGACCCGCCTCGATCCAGCTGTCTACGAAGATCATCTGTTAGGGCAACCAGAGCCGTCTCGGTCCCATGACCAGCGCGGAAGCAGGACTGGAATGGATCCAGAGCCGATGTTTCATCCAGAAACCCACCAAGCTGTTCAGCAACTGCTCTCTCAATCACCTTACCCAGGAACGGAAGATTCAAAACCGGGCAGTAATTGGTTAGATATAAGGGATCAAATGATGTTTTCTTTAAAAGTGGGTGCACCACTGCCTCCTTCAGTTCCCCTGGGAATGTCCCGGTGCCAAGGGACAAATTGATGATATCCCCTAGGAGGGCCCGCACCTCATCTGGACACGCTCTAATCAGCCAAGACGGGCACGGGTTGAGAGGACAGGTGGTGGGCTTTCCAGCTCAGAGGAGTCTGTCCACATCGGCTGGGGATATCCGGTCAAAGTGGTCCAATACTGGACCCGAGGACAGTCGAGGGGCCTCCAGTTCCTTTATTGTATCCAAATTGGCAGGGAGGCCATGGCGGAGCAACAAGACCTTCTCCGCAAAAAAGCTCGCAAATGCCTCACAGCTGTGTATCAAATTGTTATTTAAATTTGGCTGTCCCTCAAGGGACGTTAAAGACCTAATTATACTAAATAATTGCGCCGGGCGAGAGCTAGCGGATGCAATGGAGGCCGAGAAGTAAGACTTCTTAGCAGCCTTCACCGGCATCTCATAGGTTTTCATAAAAGCCCTATAAGATGTTCTTGAGGCTCCGTCACGGGCACCCCTCCATACTCACTCTAGCTGTAGGAGGTCCCCCAACAAGCTTTCCCAGTCGTGTACAAAGGTCACTTCAATAGGTGTATACCTTGTATTGTTTTAACCCATATTTAGTTGTTGTTGATTTTTGTACTGTTTTAAAATCTTTTATAATAAATAATAATAATAAATTTTTATTTACATCCCACCCTTCCCAGTTCAGAAAACTGGGCTCAGGGTGGCTAACAACATGGCTAACAACAAATTTAAAACACTTAATTTATGCAGCCAAAAACAGCATAAAATACAGTATAAAACGTGAATAACAATAAATTCAGAATTCAAAAATCAATTTAGGTGGGAAATCCAGCCAATAAACATTAGATGATCACCAGGGCTAGCTGGCTAAATTAGTCCTATTTGGGCCAGAGAGGAGACCAGGGGAGAATTAGCTGTGGGATCCCAGAGTGGGTAATCTTCATAAAAAGGGGAGGGGAGGGGAGTAAGGCGAATAAAAGATCAGGCTAAGTTCAAATTGAAAGCCAGGCAGAATAGCTCTGTCTTACAGGCCCTGCGGAAGGAAGTTAAATCCTGCAGGGCCCTGGTCTCATGGGACAAAGCATTCCACCAGGTCAGAGCCATCACTGAGAAGCCCCTGGCCCTGGTAGAGGATAATCTGACTTACTTAGGGCAAGGGACCTCTAAACTATGATTATTCATAGTTTAAACTATTTTTATATCTCTGTAAGTTGCCTTGAGACATACATGCAAGAAGCAATTCATAATGTATAATGATGATAGTAACTATGTGATTGCAAAGTTCACATGTTATAATTGCCACATGAGTCCATGCCCAAAACATGTTGGAAGAGCTTGTTGAGAGAAGCAGTGTGTTGTGTTTCTTAGAGATGTCATAATCAATCAAATCTTCACACATACTGAAGCCAGGTTTTCATGCACCCAAATGAACGTGTCATTTGATAGCATGAGGACTAGCCACTCTGGATGACCTTAGCCCCTAGGTCCTAGCTCCTAGGAAATGCATTTCCCTTTGTGTGCAGCAGTAATAGAGAACCTTTGTTCTGTTTTTCTGGACAGCTCTTTAAATGTTTCATCTTCAGAAAATACCAGTAAAAATTCTTATTCTTCACTACTTACCCTTTCCTTTTATCAGAGTCCTAAGTAAAGGAGTCTCTGGTCGCTCATCTAATTCTTCAGAGTGGTCAATGAGAGCTTCTTTCACTGCTTGGAATCCAGACAGTACTACAATGGGTAGATGTCCTAACCATATGGTGTAAATATTTCCATGTTGCTTTCCCAGCTACCATTTGGTTCAAAAGAGAAGAGAGGAATGATGTGTTCAAAAAATGCAGTTGGATATTTCAACTTAATACGAGAACGTCATACTACCTCACCTCTGCAGTTTCTCACTATGTGCAGTTCTCTTGCTATCATCTTTTCCCCTCCTCCTCCTTCCCTTCCTCCCTTCCTCCCTTCCTCCCAGAATTCCAACCCATTTGTTTTACTCCCTCCTAGCCATGTTGCCTCTGCCTAGGATCAGAGCAGCAGAGACACTTCATAGTAACCAGCCCTCCTGCGACAGACAAGAAGATGCACAAGTCATTGCCAGAAAATGATATTGCCACAATCTTTGTGTGTGCAGATATGTGGAACCTGTAGCCCACTAGATGCTTTTGAACTAGAACTCCCAGCATCCCTGACTATTGGCCAAGGTGGTTGGGGCAGATGGGCATTGTAGTCCAAAACATCTGGAGGGTACCAGGTTGGCATAGGCTGGGCTAGAGTCCTGGGTCAGCTTTCAGACCCACGGTGGGTCACAGCAGGAGCATCACCACCATGCAAATATATGGCAAGGAATTCAGATGATACATGTCTGGGCTAGAGATTATTACCAATTCCAATGTTTTAAAAGTTAATATGTTCATATCTGATGGCTGAGTAATTTTGTATTTTTTGAAGAGTTTTCGCTGAAAAAGCTCAGAATTGTATTTAAGAAACAAACAAATAAAATAAATTATGGTCTGACAAAGAGTAAATGCTTGCGGAGGAGGCAATGGAAAGGTGCCTGTTCTGTTTGTCTCTTGTCTTCTCTAGTTACACGTGAGCTGCTGCTGAGAAAGGCTGGTGTGCTCCTGCCTCATTGCCAGTTGAACTTGTTGACCTTCCCTCTGTTGGAAGGGGAGAAGTACACAGCATTCTAGGCCAGGGATATCCAACAGGTAGATCGGGATCTACTGGTGAGGTGTCTGTGGTAGATCTTGTGGGGCCCCTGAACCCCCCTGAAAGCTCAAGAACTTTGGCTCCCTAAAAAAGCTCAACAAATTTAGTAGATCACCGCAAGTTTTTTTATAGTGGGAGTAGATCTCAGTCTCTTGAAAGTTGGACATACCTGTTCTAGGCCATGTCGCAACATGCAATAATATGAAAGGAAGACAAGATGAAGAACATACTGTAATAAGCTGTTTTATTAATTCAGCTTCTTGTGTTACACAATGTGTTTTGGAGATGAGTGCCCTGCAACCAGCAGCTATGAACAACACACATTAAAACTAATATAAAGGGGCAAGATTCCGATTAATACTGAAAAGCACAAAACCATACAAAGTAGGATAATGGCAGCATGTGTAGCTATGTGAAATTCGGGGGGGGGGGTGGACTCAAGGCAACATAAAATGTTGTTGTATTTTCTATGGGTCAACGTGTAAGTGGTAGCAAGACTTCATTTCCCACTGACATTAGTTTCACAGCTTTCTAAATGACTCTCTGAAGCTGATTTCATAGCCCTGGCCTTGTATTATTGGTGGGAGTATTAACTGGAGATTAGCACTTACTGTAGGTTTGCCATACATCAGGAAAATTCCTGACATGTCCTGACAGGAATCGGCAAAATGTCAGGAACACTGAGATGTATGGCAACCCAATGGAAAAAGCTCAACAATTTCCTAAAAAATGGCAACCCTAGTTTACCGCAGAGATCCTTTAAGAAGATTTTGGTATTTTAGTTTATAGTTTGTTTTTTATAAGTGCTTCTGGTTTGAGTGAAAAAGATTGAATAGCGCATGGAGGTTAGTGCCTGTTGAGAGGCTGCTGTGAATGAATGCTGTGGTCTGTCTTTTTTCTGTAATAATATTTTATTCTTTTTTCATATAGAAAGTTACATTTCTTAACCTTGGTAACCTCAAGGTAAGATTACTTGCAATGTGTTATACATAGGGCTGCCTCTGAAGACAGTTCGGAAACTTCAGCTAGTGCAGAATTCAGCGGCCAAGTTGCTCACCGGAACAAGAGCATATTACATCGCTCCTGGTCCGGCTGCACCAGCTACCAATTAGTTTCTGGACCCAATTCAAAGTGCTGGTTTTGACCTAGAAAGTCTTAAATGGCTCAGAACCACAATACTTCAAGGACCGCCTCTTTCGATATGATCTTACCAGACCCTGAAATCATTTTCTGAGGCCCCTCCTTGTGTTCCTCCTCCATAAGAGGTCCAGAGGGTGGCAACACAAGATTGGGCCTGCTCTGCAGTGACTCCCCGTCTGTGGAATGCTCTCACCAGGGAAGTTCACCTGGCAAAACCTTCCTTTTCAAATAGGCCTTTGGTTGATTTCATTGACATCCTATGCCCTTTTAAAATCTGACTTTTTTCTGTGGGGGGGGTATTATTGGGTGGTTAATAATAATAATAATAATAATAATAATAATAATAATCCAATTAACAAAACAATTGGAATATAGAAATTTTCCATATAGAAAGTTACATTCGTTACTCAACAATTATACAGTGGTACTTCGGGTTACATACGCTTCAGGTTACATACGCTTCAGGTTACAGACTCTGCTAACCTAGAAATAGTACCTCGGATTAAGAACTTTGCTTCAGGATGAGAACATAAATCATGCTGTGGCGGCGCGGCAGCAGCAGGAGGCCCCATTAGCTAAAGTGGTGCTTCAGGTTAAGAACAGTTTCAGGGTAAGAACGGACAGGTTAAGAGGCTAATGATGGGAGTAAATTACCCTCCCGAGTTTTCCCAGGGGATGGGAAAATGCTGCCTCATCTGCTGTTGCCAATAAATCACCCCCGAGTTCGAAAGAAGGAGGGGGTGGGGGCACTGGACGGAAAGCCCTCGAGTGAGTTTTTGGATCTCCTGGACTCTACTTCTGATTGCGATCCTAGTTGCATTGCTCAAGATAAATAATTGGAGAAGAGTAAATGCACATGTTTCAAGCGAAGGAAAGGGTGTACTGATTGCTAATTAAATCGACCACTGAGAAGCTGAGTGACGGGTTGGACTGAACAGAAGACTACATCAAAGAATTACAACTATGTCGGTATGTTGAAACGGATCGGAAAGGGGGAAAAAACTTTTCTCTTTTTCAATATGATTTACCTAACAACCCCTCCCCAAGAAGAACCGCCACATGATTGATAGCAAGTGAGATGGGAAAATAAACTGTGTGGAAATTATCAACTAAAGGCTCTGTTTTGTGGAAGATCTGGAAAGGAAACGAAAGGCTTTTGGATGACGCAGTTCAAATTGGGAACCACCATTATGAGACATACTTTGTTGCAAGATTTACAGTCAAAGGGGGAGGGAGCCAGTATTCTGTTATCATATCTGAATCATATCATATCTGAATTCTACATTTGATTTGGCAAGCACTCCCCTGGAAAGGCTCATTTATGGAGCAACTGGTCTGGGAAAGTTAATGAGCAGACGCTTAGACTGTATTTTATGGGAACTGCTGAAATGGTGCCTGCCGTTTGAATAGGACTTTTGGATCAGCATGAAAATCCACACAGGACTATAATAATGTTTGCTTCAACTCGCTTGTGGAGATAACCCAGAGGTTATTAAGAAGAAAAATGATAACAGCAAGAAGATTGGAAGACGGGATTTGTACAGGATAACAACAAAGAGATGGAAAGATGGGACTTGTGAACATCAAAGCAGCAGAAATATGAGATGATTGGACCCTTTCTGAACTCGAAGCATGGGTACCCCCAACAAAAATTTAAAATTTGGCTAAATATTTGGAGTTTATTATGTATTGGTATAATTTGGAATTAATGTGATATGATTGGTTATTGGTTTGTTAACTGGAAATTTAATTAAAAAAAAACAAAACGAATGGCCCTCCGGAACAAATTAAGTACTTAACCCAAGGTACCACCATATTCCAATTCAACAAAACAAGTGATTTCCCACTCACCCAATATTAATGTTTATAACTCGAATTACATACGATTGCATTTTAAAGTTCCATCTTATCTAATTTGATCCTCTCTAACATGTTTCTTAATATATTCTGCTGTTTTCTTGCAGTTTAAACCCCACTGTGGTCTTTGCATATGGGAAATAACTTTTTATATAGACTGGAAAGGTTTTCTAATCTTCTTTAAAAGATTCTAAATTTGTATCTTTTATCAATTTTTGTCATCTCTGCATATTCCAAGATTTTCATAAAGCATTCTTCCTTTGAGGGTGTTCTCTCCTCCTTCCTCAGTTTAACAGCATACAATAAATATTTTTGATCTGTAGTTTTTAATGCGTATTTTCAACTTTTATATGGTTTTGTGCTTTGCAATATTAATAATAATACTATTTAAATTATTACTATTATTTGTATTGCTTACAGCTTCTGACAACAGAGGCTTATGGCATTTACCATTTTAACCAATGCTATCGTTGAAGCTGAAATATCACAATTGTTGGGGGAAATAGATAAAACAATTGCTGGCATCAGACTGAGTTATTACTAAGCAATAAGTACCTGAATGAGAGTATTTTCATCAATCTTGAATCCAAACCTCCATATGGCTCCAATGAGAGGAAGCTGGAGAGGTCCTGGAGGATAATGCCTGCGTGACCAGAGCTGTTTCAGGTAGTGCAGAATCAGAAGAGCCACCAGCAGAGCAATCAAAACTGCCCATACCTCCATCCTTCTCTTGCTGTCTCTTTCTCCTTAATTTTTTCTAGGTTGCCTGGTCAGGTTCAACTCTCTTTCTCTAAGGAGTTTTTGCTGTCATCAAAGACATCAGCAGTATTGTCTGTTTTTATATGCTCAGTTATTAAAAACAAATAAGCAACAAGGGTTGTAGGTAGCCTTGGAATGTGGTACAATCAAACACTATAATCAAACAATCAAATGCTATAATCCTTTTAATGTGTGTCATGCAGATGTGACGAAGTGTGCTTTATATCAGGCACATTGAACTCCCAAGAGACTGTGATCTACTTCCAGTACCCTGAGAGTCATCTGGTATTTAATATGGGTATCTTTCCCTCTTATGGAATTGCTACTCCTTGTGACCTGTGCCTTGGGAAGGTACCAATCTGATGTAGGCATCAAAGCCTTCAGAAAGAACTCTGAGTTCAAGCTCTTATTAATCCAGCAATGAGGGCCAGGATAGTAAATGCATTACAATTGCAAAAGCCAACAAACTTCTACCTGCAGTTGAATTGAACCACAGTGCAGTACAATTGCTACTTCCACAGAGCACTTGCTCGTTGCAATCCATCAGGGGTGCCAACTTGAATAAAATATGAGGAATGGGGCAAGTGAGCCCCACCTCGCATAATCAATCACATAATGTGGTTCACGTCCACCATTAGAATGGCAATTGCCATGAAATTTGGGGGAACCAGGACCCCTCAAATATTTTAGAGGGGCACTGAAGGGACCTCAGCCCCTAGTTCTTCGCTCCTAGGTAGCCCATTTCCTGTTGAGTGCAACAATAATAGAGAACCTTTGTTCTGGACAGCCCTTTAAATGTTTTCTCATAGTCATGAGGAAAGGAGTCTGTGGTCGCTCGTCTAATTCTTCAGATGGCTAGGCAGCACACCCCCAGAGATGCCTCCTGTTGGCATTCTGCTGTCCAAGGCAGCTGTCACAGCCTGCCTTGTGGGTGGACCGGCCCTCCGCTTCATAGCTGGTTATGATAAGAAACCCACACACACTTTCCTGTATTTACAGCGGTAGCTGCTGGTGCTAGATTTCAGGATCTGTGGGTTGGCATAATAACCAACAGATATTCTGTGCATCCTAATCACACCAAAAAGAGTTAGTAATAAGTAATAAGCAATATAAACATAATTATGTTTCTTTATAAACACTGTTTCCTCGATTAAGGGTCATGCTTTGGTTTTTCACCAATAATCGTCGCACCCCCCCTTTTTTTGAAAAGAATAATTAGCATAAAAATGTGACAATTATGGTGAAATATGGTACTAAACATATTTAACCATTCGTTTGTCATCATGATAAGCATTGTTTAAAGAGGGAAGGATGAATATATATTTTGGCCTTTCTAGTATGTGAAGATGGATGAGATGGGGATTTGAAGTCATACTCTAGTTTAAGAGCATTTTGTTTAGGATTATCTGTTTTCTCAGTCCACATTTGAATGTCAGATGAACATCAATCCAAAATAATTTATGTACAGAGGGAATGCTCCAAAGCAAGACCCCTTAACACACTTAAGTTTCCAGTCCTTTAAGCTCACATTTCCTAGCCATTTCTATAGATGCTTATGGATGGATGTCAACCCACTTTAGCAACTAAATTGAGTATGAGAAATATTTGGGGGGAACTCAATACCATTTTCAACTGAGATTCTGGAAAAAGATGCTGGTTTCCAGGCAAGAGATTAGTATTCACTTATAACAGGGAATATAATGATTCCTTAGGTGAGCAATATTCAGCTTCAAAGCAGATACTTTCTCCATCTGAAGTAGATAGAAATCAATGAGATCCTGTGGATCATGCAGAGACTGATTCTCCTTATGCTTCTCTATCTCCTCCTTTGCAAATGAAAGCACCATCTCTGAGCAGGACAAGGCCTTCTTGTGGGGCCCTGGGAGATGTTTCATGAGCCATGGGAGAATTTCACAAAGCTAAAGGAAAGATAGCAGAAATGCTGCCATTACCAGCTGAAAATGTGAATGAAAACTATGGCTCAAAATATTTTCCCAGCTCTCAGGCATCATTCCAAAACTGGGCACAATCAGGGGACCCCTCCTGGAACAAGTTAGTGACCTTTCATGGTAGGTGGGTGTGGGGGGAATTCAAGTAAGTTCACATTTAAAAGCAAATTTCCCTAATACACAAATGGAAAGACAGCCATCGTTCAAAATGTACACTTCTCCATTTTTTAAATTTTTAATTGTATTTATTAAATCTTCCAGTTTGCCAGTCAAGTAATTCTGATCTTTCATCACAAAAAACTAAACCTTGAAGAAGGATGTTTTTTCTCGTTCCTTGTTATCTCATTAAAGATCAATTACTTACATTTTCTGAATACATAAGGAGCTCGAAAATTAAAGTTGGACTGAAATAATGCAGTGTTAGAAACTGAGATATGAAAGCTCTGAGCTAAATGGCACCTTAAACCTAGATTATGAGTGGAGCAACGGAATGTTTAGGTGTGCCTTTTTAATAACAAGAATACAAGGCTGAAAATGAATGAACTGCAGCTAAAATCTTATATTCATTTTTCACAAGGCCTAGTCCTCATCTGAATACTGTAAAAAACAAAGCCATGCTTGCCCTACCTGACCCCCTAATATTCTTAAGACAGTCTCTTCTCCACTCTTCAAAGAGTGGCTGGAAGTGAGGAGGCAGAAAAGGGTCCTCCTTTCCTTCCACTCTGCAGTTTTAATCGGAAATTTTAGGCTTAGAACTGTGCCCAGAAGTCAGAAACTGCTCACACTAATGAAATTCCTTGTTTCAAATGTGCATAGAACACTGATATAAAGAGAACTGACCTTAAGTTTGGAAAAAGAGTTTAGTTGGGTCATACAGGAGGGAGCTGCTTTCCTTAGCAGTAGGGACAGTGCTTAAGTTGCAAGTCTCTCTTTCATTAAAAAAATTCCAGCCAAGGTTTTGGCTGCAGGGGCCTCACTATAGGCACCATCATCATTGCCACTGCTAAGTCAGTAGAGAGTAGACACATTTAGTTTTCCATGATGGCAACAAAAGTATGTAATTCCCTTAGTGAAAAGATTATTTTGCTCACCTCTGTCCCCTTTGGTGGGCTCTAGATGACCTGTTCTGAAGGTCATTGTTCCATTTTTATCCCATCGTTCCTCCAAAGAGTCTTCTGTGGTGGACAAAGTCTTCTTACTCATGCTTTTCATTTTATTTTATCTCAATGATAATCATAAGAAATTGAGCAGGCGTAGAGATAGTAAGTGGCCCTTATCTCAGATCAATTTAAACCTGATGTCACTTCTTCAACCCTCTATCCTCTATCATAATGGATTCCAAAATATTGATTTGTGGTATTAAGACCCTGATTTGTGGTATTCAGGGGGACCTGTTTGGCTTAGGAGAAATGAAAACAACTACTCACGAGATGCCAAAAGCTACTTAATTTTTTTATGACAAAATCCATGGCTTCCATCAGCTTCTGGAACCATTCATCTTCAAGAGCAAACCACTGCCCAAAAGCCACAGGACATCATTAAATCCCTTAGATCTATCCAATTACTGCCCGGTTTCGAATCTTCCATTCCTGAGTAAGGTGATTGAGAGAGCGGTTGCTGAACAGCTTGGTAGGTTTCTGGATGAAACATCGGCTCTCGATCCATTCCAGTCCGGCTTCCGCGCTGGTCATGGGACCTAGACGGCTCTGGTGGCCCTAACAGATGATCTCCGCAGGCAGCTGGATCGAGGCGGGTCGGGGCTGCTGATTCTTCTAGACCTGTCAGCAGCCTTCGACATGGTCGATCACGAACTCCTGGACCACCGCCTTGCCGACGTGGGGATCCAGGGCACAGTCCTTCAATGGCTGCGCTCGTTTCTCTCTGGTCGGGGACAGAGGGTGGCGCTTGGGGGGGAATTATCATCGTGCCACTCCTTGGTGTGTGGAGTGCCTCAGGCTGCGATACTCTCCCCGCTGCTTTTCAACATCTTTATGGGCCCCCTCGCCCAGCTTGTCCAGTTTTGGGTTGGGCTGCCATCAGTATGCTGATGACACCCAACTCTATCTGTTGCTGGATGGCCATCCTGACTCGGCCCCAGACACACTGATCAGATGTTTGGAAGCTGTGGCTGGATGGTTACGTGGGAGCTGGTTGAAGTTAAATCCTTCAAAGACAGAGGTCCTTTGGCTGGGACGGGGTGATATGGGATTGAGGGGGGGGGCAACTCCCATCTCTTGTGGGGACACAATTAGTGCCAGCATCGTCCGTTAAGAGTTTGGGTGTAATCTTCGATACCTCCCTCTCTATGGAGGCACAGATTACAGCTATAACAAAGGCGGCATTTTTTCATCTCCGCCAAGCTAAGCAGTTGGCTCCTTACCTCTCTTGCCCTGACCTAGCCACTGTGATCCACGCGACGGTCACCTCCAGACTGGATTATTGTAACTCGCTCTACGTGGGGCTGCCCTTGAGACTGACCCAGAAACTCCAGCAGGTGCAGAATGCCGTGGCGAGACTTCTTATGGGGTCTTCGCTGCGAGATCATATTCATCCGGTACTATACCAGCTGCACTGGCTCCCGGTGGAGTACAGGATCAGGTTTAAGGTGCTGGTTTTAACCTTTAAAGCCCTATACGGCCTAGGACCCTCGTACCTACGGGACCGCCTCTCCTGGTATGTCCCACAGGGAAATTTACGGTCTGCAAATAAAAACATCCTGAAGATCCCAGGCCACAGAGAGGTTAGGCTGGCCTCAACTAGAGCCAGGGCTTTCTCGGCTGCGGCTCCAATCTGGTGGAATGCTCTGTCACAAGAGACTAGGGCCCTGCAGGACCTGACATCTTTCCGCAGGGCCTGCAAGACAGAGCTGTTCCACCAGGCCTTTGATCAGGGCGCAGCCTGACCCCCTCCTCTGGCAATCTGCACAGAATGTTGCTTAATGGTTGCCATTAATTTGATTTTAATTAATTTTATAATGAATGTTTTTAGAATGTTGGATTATTTTGATTGTTGTTA